AGAGAGAGAGAGAGAGAGAGAGAGAGAGAGAGAGAGAGAGAGAGAGAGAGCACCTGAAATGTAGTGCAATAGTATATTACTTGTCTGCTATACACAGTGCCCTTAGTTTGATCCTTTCTGCTACAATAAATTTTTTGAGAATATTTTAGAAGAATCTTGAGCATGTTCCTGTAATTAGAAGTTCTGCGAGAATAAATATAGATAAAATGTTTCTAATGATAAAAAGTGATAGGATTCATCATAAACTTAGTTAGAATTGCTAGGTACACAGGTGGGCCTGGAATGGGATGAACCCTACCCCATCTTCCCACTCTCGACTTGGAAGTGAATCTTTCCCTTACATCTGGCAGGTGGCTGTAATCCACTCTCCTGTGAGGCAGACCAGAGACTTGACCTGTGTTCCATTTCTCATCATGTCTATGGAACTGTGGGGTTGAACATCTGTGTAGACTTGGTGGCAGTTTTGAGTCTGGTCCTTGTGGTGTGTAAAGGTCCACTAGCAGTAGTTGATCTACAGACAGTGTTGAGTCTTTCCCTGTAGTGCTGTTGGTGGGCTGGGAGCTGAAGGAGGCTCTACCTCCCACAGCCCTGACTTAGAGGATTTGTCTTTATATTAAATAGTGATAATGTGTGTGTATGTTACAGAGCCTGGGGGTGGAGGAGGGTGTTTTAAGTTAGATAGTACTGTAGATAATACTGTAGGTTCAGTAATGATCATTATTGATAAAAGATAAAAGGCTTTCTTCTTTCCAGCAGCTTAACAGTTCTTCTGTAAGCACCTCAGAATGTCTTCTGGAATAGAGAAAGCATATTTCCTACTTGAAGGTTCTTCATCCCTCAAGCTTGGTAAAGACAGGGCAGAATTCTCAGCATCAGGGTTTCTATGGCTTATTTGAGGTCCTCACCTCATAAACTCCACATCATTTTAAGGCCTGTGGATTGGAACATCAAGAATAGCTTTGTTTATAAGTTTATAGTTTATAAGTTGGGGCTAAACAGCAGAAGCCATTTACTCATGGAGCTGCCACCATAGGCAAGTGCTTTCGCCTATTTAAAAAGTGTTCTTTCTCATTTATTTTATGTGTATGAGTGTTTTGTGTGCAAGCCACATGTGTACGATGCTCAGAGAGGCCAGAAGAGTGTGTTAGATCCCATGAGACTGGAATTATGGGCAGTTGGAAATCACCATTCAGGTGCTAGGAATCAAACCCAGGTCCTCTGGAAGAGCAGCCAGTTATCTGAACCGGTGCATCATCTCTCTGGCTCCCCTTCCGTATGTTCATATCCTTGTACTTTGGGCATAAGAAGTAGAAGTTACAAGGTACTGATGTCATATCCCGATTACATGTTTTTGTGTTGTTTTTTTCCATTTCTGGAAACCTCCACTGAATGAATGTTCCTTCACCACCAGCCTAACCTCTTCCATAATAGTACTCTCAGGAACTGACTCTGGGGTTTTCCAGGTCAGGCGTAACAGCCCTTAACCCCATCTAAGTGCTGTATTGTTTATCCCATCACAGTCATCTTAGAGGGTGGGCAAGCATTATACCTTGGTCTACTCAGATAAGAGTTTCCTCCTGATGAGTCATCCAGCCAGTGACCACGAAGCCTACTGCCAGTGTTTCCAGTTTTTTTTTGTGTGTGCCCGTTTGACCAATAGCCTTGGGGAATGGTATGTCTTGTACCGTGTCCTTGTGACAAAAGCAGCTGTGCCCTTGAACACCAGTTTTGTAAGATGCTGCTGATGTTTTTTGTTCCTTTCTTGCTGAAATTCCACTTGGCTTCTGAGTTTCTGTGGTCATAAGCTTTACAGATTCCAGCACTACAGACACTGCATGGTGTTGGTGGATGCTGCTTTGCTTGACCACACTGGTTGAGACTGTCCTGCAGCTTGAGTTCATCTCCTCTTGGGCACCTCTCTGAACCATTGGAGGTCAAGAACTGGGCCTGGAGGGTTACTGTAGGTACCAAGGAGGAAGTAGAGAGAGGCCTTGGCATGGGAGGGATCCTTGGAAGATTCTGTCATGTATTTGGCTACATGCTTTGTCTCAGAGGTCCCACCTCCCAGAAAGGCAGAAGGAGACTGACTGTGGCTCTTGGAAGGAAGAAAGATCATTGCCAAGGGAGGAACTTGCTTGAGCTGGGCAGAGACAAGATCTTACCAAGCAGGAATGTACCAGCGTAGAAAGGCCCAGGGCCGGGTTTTAGAAAACAGTGTCTGCCTAGGAAGTGTAGACACATGTGGTAGACAATATTCTGACTCTGAGGACTAAGACCTGTAGGATTCAGGTCTCCTTAAGTGCCCTCAACATAACCTCTGGCTCAGAGGTTCCTGCATGTGACCTACTTGTTCAACCACCTTCCCTTTGTGCAGGTTGTAGGCTCAGCCTGGAATATCTGCCCACCACACACTTTGCTGTGTCCCCAGCACGGTATGCCTGTCCTCTGCTAGGCTCTGTCCACAATGCTAAGTATTCTTTCCCAAGAGGCTTAGGCTGTCTCCTGCCCTACTTGATACAGGTTTTCTTCTTGCTTGTCCAGGTGAATCTAAGCAAGGTTGGTGAGTACTGGTGGAATGCCATTCTAGAGGGAGAAGAACCCATCGACATTGACAAGATCAACAAGGAGCGCTCCATGGCCACTGTGGATGAGGAGGAACAGGCAGTCCTGGACAGACTCACCTTTGACTACCACCAGAAACTGCAGGGCAAGCCCCAGAGCCACGAGCTGGTATGAACACCATGGCCCTCCTTGTACCATCAGCAGGCGGGTGGATCACACTGGTGGGGAAGAGAGCATGGGAATAGGCTAGTTCGGGCTTGGCTTCTGGCCCCTGCTTCAGTTCTAAAATGTCCTACCTAGCTAGGGAAGCCCAGCTGATCATGTCACCTAGTCCTTACCTGAAGACAGATAAACATGGCTGTTTAACCATATCTCATACCTGAGCTGTAAGCTCTGGTGGCACAGCTTAGGTTCTGACTCCAAAAACTAATGCACAACAAATAGGTAGGTGAGTGGAGTGCTGGGGCTATAACAGGGGAATGTGAGGTCAGCAGCTTCTGCAGAGCAGAAGGCTGTGCCTGACCTGTATAGTGCCCAGGGACAGGCTGCTCGTGGCAAAGAATGATTGCTTAGATAAACACATCCTCTTAATAATCCTGAGAGCAGCTACTTAGGGAAATAAAGTCTATTGCTTCAGGTTTTCATCACTGTCAAATGCCCAGCCAAACAACACATGAGCTTGTGTGCATGTAGACCAAACATGGCTCAGAGAAGGATTGGCAACTGGGTATAGGCTATCTACAGAAAGGCAGCCCCCAGGGCTCCAGAGAAGTTAATGTATGTTCCCTGTTATCTCTGAAGGAGCCTTTCTTCATGGTTTGTTTGGATTGTCCCGTCTTCCCCTTCAGAGTGGCATTGTATCTTGGGGCAGGGGTCTTTAATATGCTCTGTTGTTTCATTGGCCACTGTAGTCTGTTTTCATGACATGTTTCCTATGTGTGAGGTCAGGAAGCCTTTAGAGGCAGTGCTGGTGTCCTTACTTCTTCCCCCAGGCCATCCCAGGACATGTCATGAGCATGAACTATCATGGACTGTGTGGGTTGACTGGCTGTAGGCTCTGCACAACAGTTCTGGTTAGATCGTCTGTTTCAAAATGAAGAGATTGAGGTTTTGAGGTCTCAGGATGTATTATGCCTCAGAGCAGCTCTAGCAGAAGGCTGGGGTTTACTTCCTGACCTGACCCTGTGTGTGGTGAGGGGAAGGACATCTATGAGGGGAAGATCCATGTAATACAGAAGTACTTAGGCAGAAACTTGGAACTTTGGAACCTCAAATTAACAGAGGTAGCCAGACCAGCTTGGTCACAGTGTAATCCAGTCATGTTGACCTGTGTTTGCTGGACATAAGGTCTAACTGTGACACTTTGCCTCATGGGTGGGACCTTATGAATCTTCTCACTCCTATGCCCAGGGTTAGGACTTTGTCCAGAGAAGAACTTAGATGTGTATAGAAGGTGACTGCCAGAGAAGAGTCTGCCTTGACAGGAGAAGTGAATGCAGATGCTATCATCCTAGGTGGGTTGGAAGGAGGAGCTATCAAGTACCACTGAGAAATTTGTGCCACAGAATGGAGAGACCAAGGATGAGTGACTCTTCATACCTTCCCCAGATGCTATAACTAAAGTCTTTGTTGTAGAGAAACATTGAAATAGATATTGATTGTGGCTTGAATTGCTTTTGTGCATTTGCCAGACTTCAGTGAAATCTTCTGCAGATTTGAACTATTAGATTTATGAGAAGCTAGGAAGTCCTACAGCCTTCTGCACCTGTGAGTCTCAAGGTCTTCGGGAGTGCATCCCTTTCAGGACACATTTCAAAACAGTCTCAGTGCCACTTGCCTGGGAGTTAGCAGCAGTGCAGGATTTGCATGATAGGTCAGGTTCTATGCACCCTGTCTCCCTTCTCCTTCCCAGGCTCTTGTCCCTTGAGCTTTGCACTTACCTCTCTACACTGTGCAGCCTTCCTTTTTTCCTTTGGTGCTGATGCCCTCTGGCATGGCTTAGTGTCACCTTAGTGACCTTCCTCAAGGACAGATGGAAAACAGCCTGCATCAGTGAGAGCAAACACACAGCTGTCTTCAAGGAATTAAGAGGCCAGCCTCTTTAATGTGACCTTATACAAAGAACAGTTCAGCCTTGTTTTGCAGTCTTAATAATGGTCCTCTGCAGGAACTGGCTGCTTTGTGCCCATTCTTGTAATTCTTAGATCACCTAGTTGTGATGACTACTTCCCAGCCTACTGTCCCAGACTGGGAATAGGGTAGTGTGCTTGGCTCCAGTAAACCAAGGCAGCTCTCAGGAAGTTCCTCACTGCCAGTCTGAAGCAGGCTAGCAAAAGGATCAAATGGTAACAGGGCTAATCCTCATATGTATGCACTGTGCACAGACACACTGAATACAGTGTCCTGTGTGTGGGCTGCTACTGGAAAGCTGGCTCACTCCAAAGGCAAGGCTTTGGGGCTGTCGTGTTTTTGCTTTCTGTGAAGACTGCCCTCTTTGCCCACAAGACATTGCAGAAACCTGAGTGTGGAACAGAAGGTCCTTACAACTGTGCATAGAAGACTTCCCCATGGCTGATGTACAACTTCCACACAGCTGTGTGTGATCTAGCACTACGAAACTGAGGAGACCGAACAACAGCCCAGCTAAGAAGGACCCTAAGGAAAACCTTGAAGATGCTGTGGTCTAGTAGAAAGGGCTTTGTCTTGAGTCTAAATTGATTTTGCTGTGAACTTGTCATGGATCTGGCAAGGGCCATTGAGGGAATGAGTGTGCTTGCCCAGATGAGGTCCCAGCCAGACCTTCAAGGAGCTAAGGCATGGGTGGAACCCAGTGTGACTCCCTCCCCAGAGCTGAATGAATCAGGATGGCCAAGGAAGCCTCTGGCTGTGGATAGTCAGGAGCATAACTCTTAGGGCTTTGTTAAATTCTCACATGTCTCACTACCTGCCTAGTATCCATGCTGAAGTTTTAGCTCCTGTCTAGGCTTGAAATGCCTTGGAGACACATCTTCAGTGTAGAGCACCCTGGGGTTCCATGTAAAGTATCTTTAGCGCTTTCTTTTATTGAGCAAAGAAACAGAGCTAGAAAGGTAGGTCTAGGACTTTGTGTTTCCTGATACAGCAGGTTAGCTCATAATCAGTACTCATATTCAGGGGGTTTGTGGGTAGTTGAGGTCACTTCTCTAGGATTGCTACTCCTATCTAGTAGAGAGAGAATGGAAATGCGGCCAGGTTCCTCTGCCAGCCTCCATCTGCTGTGCACGTTGGCAGTCACAGTTACCAACGGGCTCTGTATTGATGCCCATTTATGGTGTAAACTTGAAGTTTTCTAAATCTGCCAGAATTTTAAATTGTGTTTCTAACGCCACCAGGCTTTGTATTTTAAAGCATTTTAATTTTGAAGTGGTAATATACCTCTTTTGTCATTTTAATTCTTTAATGTTACCATAAGGTCACTTATTTCCAAAGTCAACAAATGGAATACTCTTCATCTTTTCCCCAGTTAGATTTCTTTGAGTGGGTATTCATCTAGAAGGGTTTTGTGGAAGTACACAGGTGCCATTGCTCTGTCTGTACTTCGATGTGTCTCTAGGATTTCTCCAGCCTGGTGGCACTTACCCCCTAACAAATAGTGACTGACATTGCACAGACAGGTGTCACTATATCCTATGAGTGAATTTGGTGGCCCTGGAGAAAAAGCCATGCATTTATCGTGGCATCCTGGGCTCCTTCAATTGTGAAAACAAACCTAGCAGCCTGCCCTTTGCATAGTGGGTCCCCACACAACTACTAGGTTCTTGCTCACCCTGCAGCTGGCTAAGGCTCAGCAGCCTCCTGCCTAGGTTATCTAGCTTGTCTCATCTTGGTTTTTTTTGAGACTATGCAGCTTCACACTTCTCATGGACAAAGATGAAGGCCTATTATGTACTAAGTATCTTTGATATGTTATTGCTACTTCACTTAGATTTAAAAACAAGACTCACTTAGCAGGAAGCTTGGATTTTGTTTAACAGTCTGTAGTTCTGAGAATCCAATAACTTTGCTGACATTCAAAATTTTCCACTTTGCTTTCAATCTGTCATCCTCATGAAAAGGGCAGCAGCACCTGTCCTCTGCACCTGTTCTTCAGGGCCGTCTGCAACAGGTGCTCCACTGGGGGACAGTCTCTAGCCATGTGTCTTATTAGTCTTTTAGGTTTCTTATGGTTGGAAGGAAGGATTGATCTCCTTATCTTGGGTATGTCAATGGTAGCGTCTGAGGAAGGCAGGTGCTCAGAAGAAGGATAGCCCATTAGCATAGGTACAGGTGCTGTCACCAGGGACATAGCCTAGAACCACACAGCTCCAGTCTGCTCTGGTTTTCAAAGGCTAGACAGTAGTAGCCATAGGCTCAGAGGAGCTAAGTCTACCAGCTCTTACTGTGTCCTAAAGGCAGTGGGGTGTTTCTGACTGCCAGGCCCACAGCTGGACATTTGGAGGTCTCTCCTTGCCTCTGCATCATCATATCCTTGGTCAATCCCAATATTGTCTGATGCATTTCTCAATGACAAGAGCTTCTTTGGGCAAGAGGTGTTAGAACACCTCTGCATACATTAGTCATGTCCTTAAGGGGCTGGGGCACCACCCCTTCATATCTGAATCATCTCCCTGGGGATTACTGTAGGCTCTGTGGGTTGTGTGGAACTTGGACAGACCTAATGGGATAGGGACTGAAGACAAACTAAGATCAGTCAGAGTTTTACTGGAAACTGAAGCTGGAAAGCTAGAAATTCAGTCTTGGGAGAACAGTCTTGCAGAGGAATTAACAGTCAGAGGGTGCCTCCCTTGGGCACAAACTACTGCAAGGCCTGCAGTCCTCTGGCCAGTTGGCTCAAGTCCTCAAGCCCTGAGGAAGCAGGATGTCTCTCTGCCTGCAGGCAATCTGTTCTAGGAGAAAGCATGCAATGCCTTGTGATCTCCTTTAATCTCTCTATTTTCTGTTTGTAGAAAGTCCATGAGATGCTGAAGAAGGGGTGGGATGCTGAAGGCTCTCCCTTCCGAGGCCAGCGATTCGACCCGGCCATGTTCAACATCTCCCCAGGGGCTGTGCAGTTTTAATGACCGGAAGTAAAGGAAACCCTCGCCATCGGGGAGATGGAAATGTTGTCCTCCTCACTCCCTGCATGCCAGGGACACACTCCTCCTGATCAGTCCTAGCCATTTTTTTCTTTCATAATGAACCAGGCCTTCCATGCTGACCTTCTACCTTCAGACTATTACAGAGAAGGTGCAGGGCCAGCTGCTGCTTGGCAGTGTCTGTGGCCAACACTAAATGAAGGTGTTTGACATGCAGGAGGGACATGTCCCAGCCTACTGGTAGCACATGTTCTGTCTCCATAGCAACCAGGCACTGCAGGCAGCATTTCCTTTCTCCCCTGCTCTCTCTGCTTGCTGTTGTTTTGATGCCATTCTGCTTGCTTGTCTTCTGTTTGGGGATAAGGAGTGGCTGGGCTCAGACAGAGCTAAGTTGAATTGTATGGGGCCAGGCACCTGCATGAGGGCTAACGAGGCATGGCTGTGGGGCTACTTCTGGGGCTACTATGGGATTCTGTCACTTGTTGACCTGTGTGTGCGTGTGTGTGTGTGTGTGTGTGTGTGTGTGTGTGTGTGTGTGTGTGTCTGTCTGTCTGTCTGTCTGTCTGTCTCCCTGTCTCCCCCTTCCCTCTTTC